CCTGGAGTTGGGTACGCGTAGGAGCAAGGTCGGCATTATATTGATACTGCTTGTAGAAAGCAGTAGCCAACTCCTCCCATTATATTGATATGTTGACTTACTGCCTGGGAAGAGAATCTGTCTTATCAACTTATGAGCCAAATTGAGTATTCGAGAAGACCTAGGATAGTATTTTGAATAAAAATGGGAGGGCAAATTTTGGGGTACAACAGGTTGCAACTTACAAAGGAGGATGTTTGATGGATTGCCTTGGACTTCTCCTTGGGGAACTCTCGGAGGAGCCATATCTTGCAGTGTTGAATTAGATGGAGAAGTTACGAAGAATGGATCTTTAATCTCTGAAGGGAGTGGTTTAACATTTATAGTAGTGGAAACCATATCAATTTTTTGAGATAGAGTGTTTCTTGATGTTTCTATAGTCTTAAAGATTCTATTATTGAGCTTCAAGGAAATAGATCGACATTACAATGATGAAAATATGAGATTTGGATCTTTGAGTAAGAGATGGTGTTTTTTGTAAAAACTTGTAGGAATCAAGATTTGATTCCCACAAACGACACTAATGTTCCAATCTAAAACTAGTATTATGGTTGTAATAGTTAAATGGATCGTGAAAAGGTGCACTAGACTTCCGGTTCGGTAACGCAAAAGTGGGCATGTCAGGTTAGCACAACAACGCCCATGTTTGTGAGAGAATTCAAGTTATGTGAAAAATGAAAATGAATTTGAATACGTGAGAACGGTGTGCCAGTCTCTTTATATACAAGTGCAATTAAAATAGCCCGAGATGGACGCGACACATTATACGGGAAATCGCCTGATTAACCTGGATGGTAGGTGATGCATCAGAGTGTGAAGTTGTCTACCTTGGGTAAAATGATGGGAAAACATGTTTCTTGCGTTCACTCCCTTCATATTTTTCTTTGGGCATTTCATGTTGGTCCATTCGGAGGACCGAAAACAGGTTGTAAACCTAACACTATTTCTAACAATTAGAAATTGCATACATATTTATTATAGGTTCTTTAAGTAAAAAAAAATCTATTCCTAAAATTTTAAAATCAAAAGATTAATTATATGTTTAACGCGGAGAAAAAAATTAAGAACGTGGGTGTCAAAATCATTTTTTTTTGCATCGCGGGTTGTATAGCTTACCTTGACTTGAGAATTTAGATTTAGCATTCTCTTAAGTCTTTGCTAGTTGTATCACACGAGTGTGTTAGAGATGCATAGATTCTCATGGCGAGCATAATTTCCTTCATTCTTAAATTTATTTAAGCTTATCCTTTAAGATTGTTAAAATTGCCTCGATTCGTCTCAATAAAATTGTGTCGTAAGTCTTTGCTAGCTCGTCACCACCAAGCATTGAAATGAGAAATAGTAAGAAATACGTGCTATCGCATGGGTTTCATCTGGATTCACATTACACGTTTATCAAATCATCATTTATATAGTTTGAATCATTTCTCAATTGGTTAACTTTCACATAGTTGCAAACATAGACTAATAATATACACTAACTTTTAAGCATTGGTTTGTACTTATAACAAACCGTACATTCGATTATCTAACTTCAATTATATAAAACAACAATAAAGAAAGATTTAAAAGATGGACATTAAAATGAACCGTCTACAATTGGTATCTCATAGATACGTTCATATCTACTGTGAATCCAAATGAGTTAACAAACCCCAGTTGAATCTAAATGAGTTAATTCTAAAAATTTATTAAACATATTTTAAATATTAGCCCATTTTTTCAAACCTAAAATGTACGACAGCTCCCCCGTCAAATTTCAGTTTTAAAACTTTCTTATTATATCATATTTACATTTTTTTACACACTACAATGTATGACAGTTCCTCGTTAAATTTCAATTTTAAAACCTTCTTATTAGATCATATTTACAAACTTTACAAATCTAAAATGTATGAGAGTACCCCGTCAAAAGTTAGTAAACTATGTAAATATACTTATGCAAATTCAACATGAAGATTAAAATCAAACCTATAATCTAATCTTCAATCATCGACAATCAATGCAACATATCATAAATAGACATAAACATAACCAAATCGATAGCCCCAACACATTCTAGTTATACCAAATCGCCACCGGGTTCAACGACGCTTCCGATTAACGTCAACAACGTCGGGTTCTTCAGCGATAGCCAAACTTGAAAGTGTTCCAAAGCAAAATCTGAATAAGTAACCAAATTGATTAAGATAACACGAAATATGAATAAGTAACCAAATTGATTAAGATAACACGAAATATGAATAACTAATGAAATTGATTAACATAACACGAAATTGATGGATTTATAGTTGTGGAATTTTGGTTGCAAAGAGGAAAACTTCGGAATTAAAAAAAAATGAAAAATTTGACTCAAACAATAGTATGTGCCGACACGAAATGTCAAACATTGACATGTGTGCCGACACATTAGTGTAAAATTTAAATCATGTGCGGACCTGAACAAAACTATGTGTCAACACATGCAAACAGAACCTAAAGGTTTCAATATTGTAGTTCAAATCCCATAAAAAAAAAACAATATTAAAATGGCCCATAAACTATTTTAGAGTTGTTTGTTATAAAACAAAAATAAAAGTAAACGAAAAGAAAAAAAGTGCATATAAAATGTTGATAATTCAAAAACTATACAAGAAACAATTAAGAAAAATAAACAAATAGGTGTCAACTATGCTTGGGAAGTGAATATTGAGAAGTTAGTATTTGCAGGTTACTTGCTTTTAGTCCCACATTGACTACTTAATTTAATATTGAAGTGTTTATATAACACAGTTAAGTCATATCAGTTCGTCCCTTCGGGGACATCCGATAAAATTGGAACGATACAGAGAAGATTAGCATGGCCCCTGCGCAAGGATGACACGCACAAATCGAGAAATGGTCCAAATTTTTTTGCGATTTTTTCCGTTCAGACATTACTAGGGTTTCATCTTCTCTTTTTGTTCGTATTCTCTTTGATTTTGCGTTTAGGGTTTTGTAAATTCTTTTTCTGATTTGGTTATTATACTTTCTTCTGTCTATGATTTTGCGTTTAGGGTTTTGTAAATTCTTTTTCTGATTTGGTTATTATACTTTCTTCTGTCTAAATCATTGCGTTTAGGGTTTTGTAAATTCTTTTTCTGATTTGGTTATTATTCTTTTTCAAATTCCTAAGCTTTCAATTGAATTCTGTGTTAGAGAAAACATCAAATTCCTAAGCTTTCAATTGAATTCTGTGTTAGAGAAAACATCAAATTCCTAAGCTTTCAATTGAATTCTGTGTTTCTGTCTAAATCAAATGCAAATTCACCACATCATAGCTATCAATTGAATTCTGTGTTCCAGAAAACCCATTTGTCACTTTTGATGATGTTTGGCTATTGCTAAATGATGCCCGTCTTATTTATAGCTGCAGGTAAATGGAAACCCATTTCAAATGTTTTCAACAACAAACAAGCTAAAGCTCTCAAGATTTAAGGTATCACTATCTTTTGATGCTTCACTAAGTAAGTCATTTGTGATGGATGTCAAGGAAACTTGTGTATTTTTATACTCTTCATTCAACAGTTTCTTCAAACAGAAATTCATTATTGTTAAAGAATGCTGTCCATGACATGAGAGATCCACATGGTATTGTCTTTTAATGTCTCTCCATCAAGTTCAATTACACTGCATATGCATACCCCACTTTCTCAATGAAAGCCTAGCAGATTAACCACTCTGAAGTCAAATTGCTACTCATACTTTTGTACTAGACATCTCACATGTTCTCTTCATATCGATAACGCGGTTCAATACCCATATATAGCTACTCTTGTTACCGTGGATTATAATCGTTAGTTGCCTACAAATCATTAATATTAGGTGGATTATAATCGTTAGTTGCCTACAAATCATTAATATTAGGTGGATTATAATCGTTTGTTGCCTACAAATCATTAATATTAGGAGGCTACACGGAACACATATAGAGGGATTGGTCATTAGTCATGCTCACCACAAGATAGATAGCAATTGAACAGTTATTGGGAGACTTTTCATAATTTTATGGGATTGGCTTCTGTTTTAAAATCTAACTAATTCTGCGCCTATGATATTAATACATGCTCTCTGCAGACTCTCTTTAGTCATGCAGTTCAGCCCCCGAAACATGTGACCTGAAATTTTTATTGTCTCCTTTGTCTCTTTACTAAATGTAAACTGAATACTCCAAATGCAAGCAGTTCATCATAATCTTTTGATTAGGAAAATACATAATAATATACACTTTTATGAATGCTGGAGGATGCTAGGAGCTTTAAGTAAAGGGTTGCCGCTAATTGAGTGCTACCGCTGATTGAGTGCACAGGAAAGTCCTTGCGATTGCCGTCTCTACCACTTTCGTTAAACATCAAACGAGAAACGCAACATACAAAATCATCGGTATGTTTCTTTTTTTTCATTTTCATTTCACTTCTACTGACCTACTTCCAATGTTCTATCATGTGCTAAACAAATCGGTGATAGTCGGAGGAGCTTTCTTATATATTATAGCATAAATATTGCTCTGCTTAGATGAAGAAAGCTCAAGACATGTGAACACGTGACTCGTGAGCTTAGATACAAGATATAGCTTATCAACTATTAGAGTCTGTGTGAATGTTTTATTAGGTTTGAGAAATTCGCAGAAACATTCGAGCTAGGTTTTGGTTACAGCATGTAGTACCCTTATGTCATCATTATAATAAACCAAGGAAAACTATGTTTGTATTTATAGCTTATAAATAGAAGCAGATAGGAGTCCATTGAGTTGTCGAATATATTGTGTCATTATGATTAGGAATAAGTAATAACAAATAATCTCTTCCTGAATTTGTCATTCAGACGGACAATTCTAACCCGTTCCAAGGATAGGAAAAGGAAAAAAATCTATACAAATCTAAATGATGACTATTGTACAAAATTTCTATGCTAATCTATGCCAGTCTCCTTTAGTGTAAGATTTATAGGCTATTGAAATGAGAAGTAATATCCAAGAAAACATCTTCTCTGCAAGGAATTGAGAGGCCGCCCATCAGATGATCATATCCGGAATTTTCCTCAGCTTGACTCAACAGGTTTTGAAATAAAGGTTGGTTCAAGTATGAAAGGGGGATGACAAACCGCTTCATTTCCTCTCCTACGTACACTGCAAAATAGCCCTTGGGCACATTTGATACTTTTGATGATGTTTTGATATTGCGATGTGAAGACCGTCTAATAGCAGCAGGTAAAAGGAAACCCATTTCAAATGTTTGAAGAAAAAGCTGAATTTCTTTGATGTAAGAAAAATGTATCTGAGTTTATTTGCTTGAGAGCTTTGTGATGGTTGTGAAGGAGGGCACTATATTTATAGTTTCCAAGATTTTCTTGAAATCCCTTTGCTAGAGAAATGATTTTTGAATGATGGGGGACATGAGATGAGAGATCACATGGTGTTGTCTTAGATGCCTCTGTCAAGGATCAATAAGTTCAATAAGGGTGTAAACCCCACCTTCTGAATGAAAGGCCAATTTTAAACCAACTGCTTGTACTATGCCTACTCATTTCTTTTCAGACATGCCTCAAACATGGTACGTGTTATCTTATCTTCACATTGATCACATAATGTTGATGTCTTACGTGAAGAATTTTGAGAAATATCATCCATAAACTAAAACACTGTTTATGAATTGTGCATATTTATTGTTCTTGACTTAGTTCTTTGTTGGAGACTAAGGTTCTCAAGAGATCACATGATAGTGTCTAGAGGTCTTTGAGAAAGTAATTAAATGTATGTCCTACATTAAGAAGCCCTGCCAACATGAAACTACTAATTTTTAAACCGTTGCAATGACGTTATTATTATGTTTCAGTCAGGCTTAAGACATCTTTAATTTTCTTCAACAATTAATTTTGATATGTTTCGTACACTCGCATTTTCTAACTTTTAAACTATATTAGTTTATTCTATAAATTAATTTAGCAGACATAGAGAAGAATGACTATGGTCAATTGTTGGGGACTCGAAAAAGAGGATAGAAACCCAAGTTTTGTTTTCTTCCGGAGATGAATTTATCCCATACTTCTACATTAAAAATGATTTAAAATATATGGTTGAGCCAAAAACCTTTTTAATATATGTTGTAACTATGAAAAACCTTAAGAAGTAAATATAAAAGTTTTATCAATAGTGATTTACTACTGCTTGTATTTGAGTTTTTGTTGAAAGAACACAAATCACAATTTAGAAGCCACTCATATCAACAAGTGCATTGCATACTTAACAATGAAAGAACTAGAGTCACAAGAGGATCTACGCAAGAATTTGTTTGAGGTTATGTGACAACTCACAATGAGTTTTGTGTTGCATGCTTTGAATATCTATTGCACCAAGAGAAATGACAAGTATTGCACCAACTAAATATTTTGAGGATGACTGACCAAGAAGATATTATCCTTACATAAAGATGAAAACATTTCCATATACTTATGAAATAATATTATGATGAATAACATGTTCATTACATTCAATAAAGTGTTTCCATGAATCAACTGAGTAAAAAAATATATTTATGGAAGAATATGATATGCACTATTACAATCATCATAAGAGAATGTTTGCCGGATGTTTAAAAGTTCACAATCTTCCCCAAATTCAGGTTGTTCCCAATCTTCCTCAAATTCAGGAAGATCACAATTATCAAAAAAAACTCATGAATAAGAATATATTTGAAAGTATGAAGTTATTGTTCACTCATTGTTCTAGTAATATTTTGATTTGAAATTGGCTAGTGGAAATAGTATACATTACATTAGAATGACCATTGCAATTGATGTCAAGCATTGTTAATCCTGCAATCTAGGACGAGTCACACTCAACCATTATTAATCCTGTAATTTAGGCTAAAAACTTTGAGTTTAAAGTCTTTCGGGTGTAAATCGACCAGCATAATCAATCAGGCGAAAATCCAACTGAGGACCCGAATGTGCACTTTTCAGTGTTTGTGTAATTCGCTGACACACTTAAAAGTAATAGCGTTGACCCTGAAGCCATTCAGTTGTGTTTATTTCCTTTCTTCCTAAGAGACAGGGTCAGAGCTTGACTACAGTCTATGCCGTTAAAGAAATCAAATTACTTGTTTCAGACAGACCAATAGTGTTAAGAAACCAAATTACCTGTTTCAGACAGACCGACAATGAATCTCTCTTTGAAGCATGGGAGCGATACAAAGACTTGACGAGAGCATGTCTGAATCACATGTTAGAAAAACGGTTAATAATTCATACATTTTACGACAGTTTTCTTTACAATACAAGAATGACTGTTGATGTCGCTGCGAGAGGAGCTTCGGTGGACAAACCCTTCCAAGAAGCCTACCAACCCATCGATAATATGGCCCAGAACCATTATCAGTGGGGGAGCAAACACCCTCCTGTAGAGAAAATGCAACTGAAGGGAGGTATGCATGAAATTAGCAACTTTAGTCATATGAATGGAAAAGTCGATGCCCTTATAAAATTGATAATCTTAGTATCAATCCCGCAACCATCGTGGTTGCAGTAACTCCCCAGTGTGAGATATGTGGAGTCATAGGACACCTCATTGTTGAGTGTCAATTTTTAGCTAAACCAACCCCTAACCAGGCCAAATACGCAACAAGGAAATTCGTATTCCAACACGTATAACCCTAAATGAAGAAATTACCCTAATTTCTTCTACAAAAATAAAATGCCATGTTTGCACCCAGTCATGTACCTACTACTCCTTCAGGTTTCTAAAATAAAAAAGGGGCCCGTGTTGCTCCCGCTGCCCCTAAAAAAGTCAAACTTATAACTAATGATAGAGAACTTTGTCTTGTCTCAAACTCAACAAAATAAAGAGTTCACGGATCAAAATATTCATCATTGACATCATTTGTTCCCTCATATAGAGTTTGGAGAGCGCCCCACATATCTTTGGCACTTGTATGATGTGATATATCATAAAATACTTCCGCGCTTAAAGCGGAGATAATTATATTTCTCGCTTTAAAATTATATGAATCCTTTTTGGATTCATCATAATTCCAATCTTTTAGGTGTTTTACAACTCCATCATCACCCATAGGGAAAAATGGTCTCTTGGTGACGGCACACCACATTTTTTTTCAATTGATAGTAAGTGTACGTTTATGATCGATTTCCAATAAGTATAATATCCACCTCTAAAAAATGGTGCTCTATTGTATGTTCCCTTTGGATCGTCATCGTCTGAAATATTCTCAAAAAAATTGGAGTCGATTAGACTTAATCAAAAGACCATCTCTTGATGTCAATTGTTGGGTGAGAATATGGAGTAATAAAATAGTCTAAATGGGGGAGGGGTTAATAGTAGGGGTGGGAATAACAGGGGGTTACAACCAAGCCTACATAGACCAAGTTTTTTAGATAGAAAAGGCTGATGCTTTTTTATAAGCTTGTTTAGTTAAATAGGTCAGAACACAGACCATACAAAAAGCCTTATAAGCCTATCAGGTCAAAATGGAGCGGGGCGGGGTAGGGTGATCATAGTTGAGGATGAGGGCCTAAAATCTAACCCCATTCTGTAAAAAAAGTGAGTGCAAGACGGGGAAAGCCCGCGAACACTACATCTTTTAAGCCTAAAAATGAAAACTATTATGTTAATATTTGTGCCCGTAAAAGCCCGCGTAAAAAATAGGACGGGGCGGGACAAACACATTAGAGAGTGAGAGTCTAAATTCTAGGCACGTCCTGCACTAAAGTGCGGGAAAAACGGGCATGCTCAACGGGCCAGACCCGTTTTTCCACCCTTAGATATACCATGCTGGACATGCTTCGAATTCCAGCTACTTCACTTTATGTTTTTATCTATTTACAAGTGTAAAATAAATTATCTAATACTTCAGTTTCTTCAAAAACCTGAGGGATAAAATAATCAAATTTTACAATAAAAACACTCGTTGAACAAATTTCACACAAATGTTATCTTATTTGTAGCCCTCCCACCGTCGAATGCATCATTTTTTTTTGGATGGATTGCAAAACTGGAAAAAAAATGTTCTTCTACCTTGAACAAAACATTTTTCAGCTTTTGCAATCCATCTCAATCAATGGTGTTTATGCTGTTGTTGTTGTTGAAGATTTTAAACAACTATGATTTATTCCTAAAAGTCTTTAATGATGAATTGCAAGTGCAGAAAAAATATTTTCCAATTTTTTGAACAAACACCTTATTAGAATTTGGATGCATTCAAAGCATGCACATTATATACGCTAGTGAAGGCAGTGATAATGATAACATCAACAAACAATCTTGGATGCAAAATCGTGACATCAAACATCAACTCCTATATGATGGATTGCAAGTGCAGAAAAATTATTGACGAGAATTGTTTTAAAGAATTTATTTTAATATTATGTGTAGACAATGTAATATTAAAAAAATTATAATAATAATTATCACCTCAATTTTTAACTTTACCTCAGATAATAGTTAAACAAAATAACAATTGTCACCTCGATTTTATAACCTTAACCAAGATGATAGTTAAAAAAATAATAAATAATAATAACATTACTTCGGTTTTATAAATAAACTGAAGGGTATAATATACAGGTGCTACTATAAAAGTAATCGCTAGATTTTACCCTAATTCGTGCTAATATGAAGCCTCCCCAAACTCACATCATTATTTAGGATTGATTGCAAGACAAAAAAATCTTCAATGCTCTTCTATTTAGAATAAAACATTTTTTCTGGCTTTGTAATCTATCACACAAAATGGTGTTGTATTTTTTGTTTGGAGAAATGTTGTTGTTGTTGTATTTTTGCTCATTTGATAGATTGCGAGTGCAGAAAATTATTATTTCCTCAAGTCACTAGTGCAGAAACTACATTTTACATCGGACGAAAAGTACTTTTTACATCGGGTCTTGGTCCGATGTAAATCCAAGCGATATAGTAAATCAAAGACATTTTACATCGGACTACAGCCCGGTGTGAAAAATCAACCTACTACATCAGTTAGATATTAGATCTAATGTAAAAATATATATATAAATTAAAAATAAAAAATAAATGCAAGCTTTTACATCGGTTTCTTAGCTCGACCGATGTAATAAATTGATTTTTACATCGATTTTAAACAATATGTCCGATGTAATATATTTTTTATATTTAACTAAATCAGGTGCATTGTCGGAATTTATTTATTTGTACCTAATTTTTCATATTTTTCCAACATCACAAGACCACATTTAGGTC